AAGAATGGACTGAACTCAGTAGCATGTGATCCTCTGTGCATAGAGCAACACTCAATGACAGAGGTGCCCAATTTGGATGTTAATTTCCCAAATATTCACTGACTGGTGGTAGCAAAATATATTCTATTGGAATTTTCTGATACCATGCAATATTTGAATAGATTTTTACTGGGTGCTGAAGGTGTTCCCTCTCCTTCAGGAATTACATTCCTGACTTATTCCCTCTGCTCACCCTCAGTGGTGGTCTGTTCTTTTCCCCGTGGCTACCTTTTTTAATCCATATATGCCTTCAGCTCTTAGTCTTTGTTCCAAAATAATTTTAGGGACTTAAGTTTTTTGTTTTTTTTTTTTTTAAATGGGAAAAAAAAAATCTACATATTTTTTCTCCTGTGTGCCTTCATAGGAATGCCTGAAAAATTCTGAATAAAGAAAACCAGGATGAGGAAGATACCAAATATAGAAAAAAAAAATTCCAAATGACTAGACTTGGTAATTTATAAACAGATGACAAAAGGTGCTGTTCTGGGAAGTGTCAGGCAATGAGGGATTGCTGCTAACCCTACCAATAATGCACTGTACACAGAGCAAGGAAGAGATGCATCATCCAAGGAGACAGTTAAATAAGAATTCTTTATACTATATCAATTAATTAAATAGCAGGTTTGTCTTTAGGATGCTCCTTAGCTATATTAATAGTTCTATGGAATTTTATGCATCTCAAACTTCTCAGTGTGGAGAAGTTAATCATCTCTAAAGAATCTAATTCCTCTATCTGAATGATTTCCAATCCTGATAAAGCAATTCAGAGTAATTGAAAAGTCTCACACCACAGGCTAACAGGTGTGATTCCTGGCACACTGGATGACAGCTGAAGGATTTTTTTTTTCCTTTGCTTCACTCAAATCGGAAAAGCATGGCCTTATTTTAAGAGTATGCATGTGTTGTTAAGACAAGTCTTTTTAAAGTGTCCTATTAAGTGTGTTACAAGCTCTGAAACTGTTTATGACTACAATACKTGCAGTTTTACTGCTACAACATGAACTGGTAACTTTTTAGGGTTATACAAGCTTGTAAAAATGGCCTGTTCTGTTATATAAAAATATATATATATTAAGAGGCAGCATTAAGTATTCCAGTGCTGAGAAGATTCCCCCCTAATTTCAATTAGTGTTACTAGTTCACATAATTAGATCTCATATGAGGATCAGAGTATTGTTTGGTATTACAATATTTAAAACTTAGAAAATTTTTAAGTGTTTTTCTTAAAGACTGCACTCCTGGAATCTTGTGATGATTTAAAAGTTCTGCAGTTTTCTATWAAAGGAATAGTTGCACCAAACTGTCACAGTGGAGGGAGATATGGAAAACACATAAAATTCTTCAAATAATTACATTCATACAAAGCAAATTTGATGGCTTATAATAACAAACTGGATTGCAAAAGATTTTAAGTTTCAGGGAAACTACTGAGTCTGATGGAGATATCTTTGCACTGAAACAAATTTTCTGCATTTATTACACCAAAACAATATTGTCAAAGTATCAGAAATGTAGTGGTGTGGGGAAGATGACGGAGCCTTAACTAACAATGGCCTATGCTGAGAGATAGTATTGAAAAAGGTCATATGATTGAGGTTTTTTGATAATTTGATATGAACATAAAGGTCAGATATTTTAGAAAACCACTATTTTCAACCAAAGCCTTCTAAAATTGTTGAGTGTACAAAAGTAACCTGAAAAACTGCAAAGAACTTTTAATAATCTTCAAAAGGGATCAATTCTAGTCCAGATGAGTGTAAAGGGTTGGGGTTTATTATTATTATTACAATCATCACTATTTTACAATCTGGTTCATTAATTCCCTGGACAGTTCTCAAGCTTTTATTTCAGGAGAAATCTTTGTAGCTTCCTAAACTTACTGRGAATATATTGTGGTTATCATCAAGGCTGTTGTTTGCTGTGTTTGTAGAAAAATCTTGTGTGTGCCCTTCCATGTCCTACATTCCTGTCACTGTTGCTGTAAAAACGTAATTTTCAAATCCTTTGGTTCAGTGTGAGCTCTCTCAGCTGTGGGATTTATTAGGTGCTGTACTTGCTGTGTTTTTATGAGGTGCAGATAATGAGCTTGGTGCATTGCAAAATTAAAGAGAGCTCCCATCCAGAAGAACTTTCATCCTGTGCTGCCAAYGATATCAGCTGCTGTGTGTCAGTGAATTTCAGGTCTTTTCCCWGGAACTGATTGCAGCCAGGACACTGAATCACAAGAACTGAACAGTCCTGAGGCTCTGAATATTTTTACTGATATAACATGAAACCTGTTGGACAATGTAAATTATCATGTATTTTATGTTACTAATAATTTAACTGCTTTTCTGAATGTATTCTAGAGAATTTGAATTTTAATGGTTAACTGAAATATGGAAATAGAGAAGGCATTCTATGTGTATGAAAAGAAAGGGAGATAGAAATGGAAAAGGAGAATTATTAAGGTGCCTTCTTTGGTAGCACCAGAAAAAGAATTAAAAGAAATTTTGGATGATCAAATGTGTTGTTYAGTGTTTGTTTATGAGCTGTTTTGAAGAGCAATTAAACTAATAATTTAATGTGCTCACAATATTTACATGTTTTTAACCTGCAACAGTTAAATTTATATCTGTACTTTAATCTTTCTCAAGTTAGGGATGCCTGAATCCTTTTTTTGGACCAGCCACTGGTATAATTAAAGTATATTTGATGTATAATTAGTGATACTTACAGCATCTCTTCCTTTAATTACGCATTCTTCTGACTGCAGYGGTGTACTAGGCCAATGGATCTGAGAAAAAAAAAAATTATAGATTATAGCAGATTATAGCAACCCAGTTTTTCCACTATTTCTCATATGAAGGATTTTCAGAACATAAGAATAAAATAATGGAATAGCCCAGGTTGGAAGGGACCTCAACAGATCATCTKGTCCAGTCTCTGGTGTGAACAGAAGCCTCGATGAGATTATCCAACACTCTGTCCTAAACATATTTAGATTCTCCAGGGACAGAAACTCCACCACGTCCCTGGCTCCTTGTGAAGGCAGAACCTCTGTCCTCTTTGAGATTCCATTTCAATACTTGGGTACTGGAACACTGTGATGACTTCCCCCTGAACCCTGCCTTCCCCAGAGAGAAAAGACCTTCATTCTTTCCTTTGTTGAAACAGAACGGTTTTGATTTGGGTAGCGCAGCAGACTTACTACTACTCAACAGGATTTAAAGGAAGGTAATGTATGGAACTTTTTATATAAATTCGGCAGGAACATCTATGCTAAACTGTCAGTGGTTTTCAACATAGTTATTAATTTTGAACTACTGATTTCCTGCTTGAAGTGACACTTAAGAAATAAAATGGTTTACAGTGAAGTTATTAAAGGTCAGCAATTAACCTCACGGGAGTAGGATCAGCTCTTCACAGTCAATTACTGGAACTGAAGCCAAGCTACACAAGTAAGATATTTTTTGAGCTACCTACTGTATAACAGCTATGTTTCATTCCAGATGCATGATTTGTTTGGATGAAAACACTATTAAACAATGAGTGAGCAGACTGGAATGATTACTTAATTTCTCAGAACTTTTAAAAGTGAAAACAAAAACATGTGCACGTCAGTGATATTGGGTTTGGCTGAAACCAAGTAAATATCAAAAAATTATGTCATCATTAAGACATTCTTGTCAATAATCCAATTACAAATTATTTTTCTGTGTGGAAAACATTTTAAAAATAAGTTCTGCTAGGCTTTTTTCTTCCTTTTTTTTTTTTTGGTAAGTGAACTCGCTTAGTTTTCGTGGACTAATTCTAATCTGAAAAAATCTTGGGATAAATTCTTAGAAAAAAAAATCTTGGGATAAATTCTTAGAAAATTTAATTGCAAGACAAATGAGGATAACGTATGAATCCTGGGTGCTTTGGACTTGAAAACAAGAGGCCCAGTTTTCTTCAAAATATTTTTAAATGATCCGGACTCAATGGAATCCTAAGTAAATTTGCCAATGACACTAAACTGTGAGGAGCTGTCGACTCTCTGGAGGGCAGAGAGATCCTGCAGAGAAACCAGGACAAACCAGAGAGCTGGACAATCACCAACTGCATCAAGTTTAACCAGGGCAAGTGCTGGATTCTCCCCCTGGGACAGGACAACCCTGGGTGTGGTTAAAGATCAGGGAACGAGGGGCAGAAGAGCAGCTGCAGAAAGGGACCTGGGGRTCCTGGTCAGTGGAAAGCTGAGGCTGAGTCTGCAGTGCCCTGGCAGGGTTTAGGTCTCACCACCCAAATCCAGGTTAATCARAACATCTGTTGTCAATCAGATGGTCTTATGGATCTGTGAATGATCAAAAATAGTCTCTGTATTGCTGCTGCATGGCCTGGAAAGGCACCTGAACTCTGCTGAGCTCCCATGGGGGTACTCATCCAGCCTTCCTGGTCTCATCCATTCACTGCAAAGCTCAGAGTCCACAGTCATTCATTTTAGTCACTGCTCAGGGATTCAATAAAGCTTGGGTTAAGCTTGTCCTTAACCGAAAAACCTAGAAGTTAGGAGAACTCTAGGATCTCCTGAGGCTAAAAGTATGAAGTCAGAGGTTTCATTTCCCAAGAACATCTTCTAACTAGCAGGCTGAAATCAGGGCTTTTTCCCACACCAGGTGTAGGTGGCTGTTAGGAACAGAGAAACCACARAGGGAATAAAGCACTTGACTCTGTAACCTGATATTAAATATACTGTGTGTAGGTGATTATTTTTGTATTTAGAGACTTTAGTCCCAGTGCTGTRGAAAATACTTTGTATGTACATTTTCTACTTGAGATATAGTGAATTAAATACATATACAGACTTAAGAGAGAAAAAGCTAAAGGGGTAACCCAATGCTCCTGCTTTTTCTGGAATGTCAAAAAGCAGCTGCAGTAGAGTTACAAGAATTTGGTCCTTGGCAAAAAAAAAACAACAAAAAAAAAAGAATAAATCATAGAGTCACAGAATGGTTTGGGTTTGAAGGGATCCTTAAAGACCAACTAGTGTAACTACCTGCTATAGTCAGGAATATCTTTTACCAGATAATGTTGCTCAAAGCCCCATCCAGCCTGACCTTGAACACTTCCAAAGATGGAGCATTCACAATTTCTGTGGGCAACCTGTTCCAGTGGCTCATTGCTGTATGGTTTAGCAGTTCTTCCTACTATCCAATCTAAATCTACACTCTTTCATGCCAGGCCACTCTTTCATTTTAAAACSTCTGTCTCTTGTCCTGTCACCASAGGCCCTGATAAAACTYTCTGTCTTTCTTTTAAGGCCACTTTACAAATTGGAATTCCACCATAATGTCTCCCCTAGAGCTTTATCTTCTCCAGGCTGGGCTCCAGTTCTCTCAATCTCTCTTCATAGCAGAGCTATTCCAGCCCTCTGACTATTTTTATGGCCCTCCTTTGGACATGGTCTATCAAGTTCAGATCTTTCATACACAGGGAACCCAGAGCTGGGCACAGTGCTCCAGGTGGGGTCTCAGAAGAGAAGAGTAGAAGGGCAGAGTCAGAKGTTGTGCAGCAATGCAGAAATCTACCTTAGATTCTCATAGCAAATTATCTGAGGCAAGTCCATGTTAGTTGTCTGAAATACATGGGTCTGAATTATAACTTYAGTAACAGATACTGAAACAGAAACTCCTGAAGAAGTTTTTCTATCCAAAAATTATTTTAAAAACTCATAACTCTTCCRAGKCTCTWGAGTTTTAACATAAATAAGTATTAMGATTTTWATCTCYTCAAGAGTATTTTAGAATTGAGACYAAAAGAATCTCTGCATGTCAGATTTTACTATCACACCAAACTTCAAATTAGCATAACATAGGATCTGTTTGCACTGCATAAAAACCTAGATATTAATCAGCTGCAATGGCAGTCTAACCTGCCATGTATTACTTTTCCTGATGYTTATGTTCTAGAGTTGTGACAATCACCAGCTTTAATTTTTAAATTGATTCTCTGCCAGGATTACAGTCTTTTGACAAGTTATCAGTAAGTATTTTCATGAACTCTCCCTGGCTTTATAAACTGGAATAMATTTCACCAGGCTGCAGGCTTGACTTGAACATAATTTTTCAAAATTTTTCACCACTTCAGGCTACTGTGAATTTTACTCTGATAAATTTTTTAATTGCTTGTTTATTGATGTTTTCTTATCTTGTACCACAGTATTCTCATCCTTGACACTTGGATAATATCATTCCAGCACTGTATTTAAAAGACAGAGAAAAGGTACTTTTCAATATACTCCTTATGAGGAAAAATGGAGTTGTAAGGTGGTACAGATATGGGGGAAACTTTAATTGGAGCTGGAATGCTAATTAGTGTCTCCAAACATCTTTTCTCTCATCAACCACAAACCTTAAAAAAAGGATGATATCTCTATTGAAAACTAATTTAAAGAAATTATATGAGCTTTATAGCACTTGAGGCCAAAATAGACTACTGTGTGATCTGGTCTGAACTCTGCTGTATGACAGAGCAATTAAGTAATTCAACCATCCTGTCCCTGGTTTAAGTCAATAAATAGTGCTTAATTAACAGATAACTTGTGTTTGGCTAAAGCACAAATTCTTCAAAAATATCTGCTGATGACTGGATATTATATATATTTATCAACAAATGCGTAGCCACCTTCCCCCATGGAAGGTTATTCCAAAGGATAATCCAACTCACTACTAAATTGTGTGCTTCTTATTTCAGTTTGCATTTATGCACATTCCCACTCAGTGTTCAAAGCAAGCCCTGCTCTTGCAGGCTTATATTCAGCCAGCTTTGGAGAGGAAATAGAGGTTCACTAGAGGCAAGATAAATGGTGAGATCTCTGTATTTTATTACAGCAGAGATATAATACCTAATCTGGAGCCATCTTGTGCCAGGAGAGAAACAGCACAATTGAAATCTGCCTGCACGAGCCCATTCCCGAAGTGGGAGGGTTTCTATTCAGACTCAGATCTTCATAAGGYCCATGAAGCAGAAGCTATCTGTATGGAATTTGTGGGCAAATAGGAAGAGCAGTTWATTTTCACTCCAACAAGAGATGAAAAGTAGGAGCAAAGGTCCCCCTTCTCTATGAGGTGTTTGACCAGTGGTGATGAGCTACTGGCACTGGTTCAAGTTTGCTGCCAACAAAGATCTTCTCTGGCACCAATTACAATGAGCTGTAATGTTTCTTGAAACAAATTTGGCACCAGATACCAAGTGATCTATCATCCTGTTAGATCATTACAAGCCTTTAAGGCTTTGGATCAAATCTTAAATATGTGTAAGGGTTTTTTCCAAAGATGGTGTCAAAGGGAACGAGTTCTTAGGGAAAGCAAAGGTTACGTGGAATGTGCCTACAAAGCTTTGGCTTTGCACAAGGTTTCGAGTGCTTACRTGGCTCTAATTCTCTGTAAACACTGATACTCACATTTCATATTCTCCCTCATCCTTGCTCCTTAGTGTTAGGGCACTCTTCACATGGAAACAACACATCTAAGTAACTTTTAAAAACTCATAGCAATATGTGTGAAATACTCTAAGCAAAAATATAATGCATTCTGCATGTGTTAAATGAGAGATACAAAAAGTAAAATAAGCAAAAGAAACATAATTTGACAAATAGAAAAGTGAGAATCTGTCCCTGTCCAAGATGACATGGAAGGATKGCGCCACAGTTGAGAACTCAACCCAAATGTCTGGATTTCCCCACCAAAGCAAGGATGACAGTAGTAGAATTCTTTTCAGAARGTTTTTCCCTGTTTTCTTAGGTATCTTTTTAGTGTATATAAAAATTGGTGAGGATAAAATGTTCTTAAAATAATTTGGTCGAGATATATATAAACCACTATTAGCTTACATGAAAAAAAATATAATCTACCCTTCAGAGTGCTACATGGTATTTGAAAGCTGAAGAGAATTGAACCTGAAGAAACATGTAGTCTATTMAACACAGATTTATAGGATGCATACCTCATATGCATCACAATTTAAGTTTTTTGGAAATGTTGGATTACTTTGGCAGTCAACAGGTCTCAGTGCAAAAGCATTTTATGTCCASTCAGCATTTAGTTGTTTTTCTTTTGGGATAACTTCTAATATGCTCGCTAGAACTGAATTATTTGGTCGTTTTACAGCAAAGGACATAAATCTCCAATTGGGAATGGATGTCATCTTGTTTTTCAAAAAGAATATTCATATTCCAAATTGTTGAGAAAGGGATGAAAATAAACTAAAAAACATAAATTGTTTTCTGGAAACAGAAGATGAAGATCAATRTGAACCTGCCCAAAACTTCATGAAACATCTCTTTTGCAGCTTGTGAGTCATTACCAGAGAGAAACTAAAACCTAGGAACTTGCCTGCACTCTTATTATTTCACTGGGTTACAACTTCTAGTTTAGATTAATTAAGCTAAACACTTCAGTCTAAAAGAAAAGGTCAAAGACTAACCAACACACAGTTAAAGATAGCTTAATTAAGAACTTTTGTAATAATTAATTAACCAGTCTCTCAACTTCAGGAACTTTCTCTAATGTATCTCAGCAATTAAGCTTTCCTGTAGCAGAAATGTCTAATTCCACACTTTTGATGATAGAGCTGTAAGATGATCACACTTTTCCTAACTATCCCTGAATGAGATCTGCACTGAGTGAACACWGAGGAAAAGAGAAAAAGCTCATGACATTTGTATTGAAGGGAGCTAGGCCCCAGTGAGGTCACAATTCTAAACATGCCAGGCCAAGCATCATTTATTCCAGTTTCTCATCTTTTGCATTAAAAAAAAACAAAAAAACAAACAAGTAGAGTTTTCATCAATTCGTCATACCCTCTATACAGATATCTAGACAAAGAATATGATTTCAGAGTAAATGGCTGATATTCCACTTAAGAACAAGAAGGGGAGCAATGAACTTGGAGTGTGTCCAGATGGGACGATGGTGGTTGGACAGAAGCATGAAGTGTTCTATTCTGTCATCTTTCCTCACAGATTTACTGCCAAACAGGGAGGACGGAGGGAAAGCTTATTTTATAGAAACAAATGCTGTCTAAATACTTTCCATATCCCTGACCTCTAATATATTGTCACAGGATAATAATAGGTTGTATTAAAGTGAAAAGGAGTTTACTCATATCTCGCTGTTGAGGAACAAAGATCAGTACGTAACTTTGCTTCCTGAAGAGTTAAATTCTGTTTTTTAGGGTTTTTTTTTTTTTGTTTGTTTGTTTTTGGTTTTTTTCAAATATAGATAAATTCTCAAATAAATACTCCCTGAGTATATTCGTATCCTCATATCTAGGACTGACATTACCAAATGTTTATAAAAAGAATAAATCATAATATATCTGTTGACAATAGTGGAACATGCTAATTATGTTTGGAGATAAGGAAGGATGCTTATGGCAAAATTGGCCAGAGTGTTGACATGAGAATAGTGAAATTCACTTCTAGCAAGGGGGCAGAAAGAAAAGAATTTGAAAATAATTTGAAATCAATGGCCRGTGCAGTATAGACATCAACAAAATTATTTCTCACAAGGAACTTCATTTATTTTGCTTACTTTTATTCCATTTATTAATTTGAAAATATATGAAAATATATGAAAACACACTAGGTAAATTTAAAGAATAAACAAGGAAAACACTGAAATATTTCAARAAATCATTTATCTACAGTCAAAATGGTTGAGGCAGGAACAATGCTCCTGCCAGCTTTCCTTACTACTGTAAGTTTCAGTTCCAGCTTCCAAGGGCAGAAATGAGTGAGGAATCCAAGGCTCTCATCAGCTCAAACTCCCGCCTCTCCACCTCAGCTGTCAGTTTGCCAATCTGTTGTGGTTTCAAAATGCACTGAGCTCCCTGGTAGGATTATTATTTAACCCACCTTTCTCCCACAAAGCACTGAGCAGCCTTCAAATGCCATTTTTAGTCATTACTTAATAGCTCCTCCGGCTCAAACCAATGTAAAATCCAGTTTCTAAAGAAGGTGAAAAATGGCTGCAAGCTTTATGCTGCTATTGAAAACTTTTAATAATTTACATGCTATTTTTTTTTTCCTTAACATTTTCTCTTTTGAAACTCCCCCAAAATACCAGGGAGATTTTATTCCTCAATAATATAGTGGAGATACAGAAATCAGATGTCTACAAATGTGAGATGCTCTAAATATCTGTAACCGTGCTGAAATTCAGTGAGAAATAGTTACATGACCTCCACGTCTCTTCACATGGGGTGAGCCTTGTGCGTGAAAAGAGGAGAAAAATGGAAATTAGTGAATTTTTCTTAAATATAAATATGGCCTTATAGTTCGTGCACAAAACACCTGTAAAAACTCCATTACCTCAGTCATGCAAGTTCTGATATCCAGTGCTACATGAGGTAATTAACATATATAAATATATATGCATGGCTTTTTACTGCACCTCTCGGTAGTTGTCACTGATTCGATCCAAACTGAGGGAATACAGGAGGTCTCTTCCTCCCACGAACAGTCGCTCTTGATACTCATCCAGCAGCATTACATGAAGTCCAAGATATCCAAACGGGCTACGAAAGACTGACGTCCTGTTTAAATCCCAGAGCTCTGAAACACAAGCAGAGTGTTCGTGATAAATACCAAACAGCTTAGCTTTCATGGCTTTGTTTTCATATCCTCCTAGGGAACTGGACAAGAAGTTTTGGGACATTAAAATGCTAATCATATAATCTTTGAGTAAGAAAGAGACATGAAACACCTGGGAACAATTTTCAAACTAAGCCAGTTCTCCAGGAGGTTTTTCTCTGAGTCTTTACATCGTAATATTTATGCCTAAAATATGAGATGAGGAGGAATGCAAATCAGTTTTCTTCTGGACATTTTCTGAACAGGTAAAAGTAGTTCTTAGAACAATAATGACAAATGGGCAAAACACCAGAATGAATTAATGGAATTTGAAAAAAAACAACCCAACTGGAAATTGTATCCTTGTCTTTCAGGCATGTCAAACTACAGRTTTTCAATGTACACACAATCTTGACCTGGGTTTGTATTTTTAGGATGGCATTGTAGGTTTTAAGCCTAGCACTCTCTTTACTCAGTTCACTGAAAATATTGCCTCTAAACTCATTGAAACCAGTATGAAATCTGTGAATTGCACATGGATAATTTTCCAACACCGATTTYGTCAAGAAATGCACTGACCTGATATGGGAATCTGAGATTTAGCTGCACATGATCCAGGCTAAAGTCTGTTTCACTGAGAAAAGGAAATTCATTCTGGGTAATGTTGCAGAAACTTGGATTCAGGCCTCAGGAAGGAATAAAGAGGCAAACAYGGGGATCTTTCTGCACTGTGGTGCAGAGCACAGCCTGGCTTGCAGCAGGGCAGGGAGGCTGAAAACCATTTTTCTGTTGAGAAGCCTCAAAAAGAGTAATTACAAAGTACCCTCAGACTGCCTCCAAAACAACAGAGCTGGGACTGGGACAAAGTGATTATATTCTTACGTCTTTACTGAGGCAAATTATTTTATTTTGAAGAAATTACTCTTGGTAAAAGCAATTAAATATGCTTATCCTCTCTGCTATCCATAAGCATAACTTATAAAAATTTTTTGATGTGGCCCAGCAGCTGATGCTGGAACAAGTGGGATTGTCCCAGAGCTGAGAAGATAAATAAGCCCCCATTCAGTCTGGAGGCTCCTTCTCACATGCCACACCAGCAGTTATGTTCAATTGTCCATTCTGTACCTKGACAGTAGCAGAGACCACAGCTGATAGTCTGCAAGCAAGAAATTTATTCTTCCTAAATGATATTAATTCAACCCAACAAATTGACACGATTTAATTTTAAATTACTAATATATTTTATGTGTGACGATAAGTGCATTTAGTAGTAAGATAAATGTGTTTTGCTCCATTTACTTGGTGGGCTTAGTTCAGGTCAACAGAGGCAAAAAGTAACTAGTTTCTGAAAGCTGTTTTCTTAGATGATAAAATTTACATTAAAGGAGTCAAAGTAAAAATTCAGCCCTCACATATGATGCCTTTCTCGAGTGATCTTCAAACAGAATCTATTTAATAGCTGCACCTGTGTGTGACTGGCCTCACTTAACAAATGGAAAAGACTGAACCTCAGAGAGGAACTTCATGATGCAGAGGAGAATTTTTTTGTCTAAGCATTGCATACTAACCAGTGGATAGACACAYATTTTTTGACAGTGATACACTCAGCACACAGCTGCACTGCAATGTGGAAACGGCATTTTGAAAGCTTGATCTCACCAAGCAAATGAGCAGATTGTTGTTTTGGAAGAACATGGCTTGTTTCTGGACAGATTAGAAATGAAATGAAAGCAGAGCTAGAAATACACTTTTGGTCCTAAATAAAGCCACTTTTTATTTGCACAAATATAAAGCATTCAATATATTCTCTTTTTTAATCAGTCTTGGACAGAAAAGATAGACTAGTTATATACAAGCCACAAAAGGTTACTGTAGTAGCTTCCTCTAATTTATTTCCATGTTGTCCTGAAGGCAAATTGTTCATAAATGAGACAATATTTCTTTACATAGAGATATGACTCATGTGTTCTCATAATGATGAACAGTCCTCTACCTGATCACATAAACTGGCAACTGCYCATGCAAGACTCAGTCCTGCAAAACACACCTGTGAACCTTATTGTCTTAAATGGAAACTGAGCATATTAAACACCATTCAAGATCAAACTTGTAAAAAGATATGTTTCTGAAACCACCTCCAGCAAACTTCACAGACATGGGGTTGCTGTGGGGTAGAGACAATAACAGAACAAAACCTGACATCTGAAAGGAGTGGAAAACAACAAGAAGTCAGGTTTGGAGAGCGATTTTGTACTGAAACACAAATGTAGAAGTTTTATGTATATCCTTTGAAAGGTAGCARGATTTCCATACATTTTAGGATATGTGAAATATTAGGACAGTTCAGGCAAATAGAATGCAGCACCTCCTGAGTGCCTGGAGAATGAGAGGTGCATATGGGAGTCCAAAATGGTACTACAGGTCTGTCATTTCAAGGCAAGTGAATCTCACCATGGTGTGGTTTGATGCAAAAGACAGGTTCTGAAGCAGCAGAAAGCCATCCTCATAGTGCTGTGCCCCCTCAGCCAAGCTCTGATGTGGTACTGCAGACAAACTGCTGCCTCCCCACACAGCACAGCCTTCACACTCACTGTTAGTTCATAGAATCAGAGTGGTTTGGGTKGGAAGGGATCTTAAAGATCACCTGGTTCCAGCCCCCTGCCATGGGCAGGGACATCTTCCAYTAGAGCAGGCTGCTCCAAGCCCTGTCCACCCTGCCACTGAACACTTCCAGGCGTGGGGCACCCAGGCATCTCCAGACAACCCGTGCAGTGTTTCAGCACCTTCACAGCACACTACAATTTCTAGTATTTCATCTAAACCCATGCTCTGTCAGTTTAGAGCAATTCCCCCTTGTTCTATCACCACGTGCCCTTGTGAAAAGCTCTTCTCCAGCTCCATTGAAGCCCCTTTATATACTGAAAGCTGCTATAAAGCCTTCCTAAAGCTTTCTCTTCTCCAGGCGCCCAGCTCTCTCAGCCTGTCTTAATCCTAGGGGTGCTCCAGGCCTCTGATCATCTTTGTGGCCTCCTCTGCACTTGATCCAACAGGTCCACGTCCCTCTCATTTGGGGGTCCCAGAGCTGGACACATGGACCACGGCACCCTGCAGAGCTGAGCTGGACTCAGCCATTGCAATCACAACACAATTGGGAGTGGGGCACTTGAATTCAAAGTCTTAAGCAACTTTCCCCAAAATCTACCTTCAGTTWTCTTGAAGAAGCTTATGCTCAAAGGGTCACCTTGTAAATAAAAATTCCTTGRGGCATCAAAAGTTGTGTTCCTGGTCATGCTGATAATTTAATTTTAAAAAATCAATTTTTAGACCATAACCCAAAAATATTTTATTTCTCTACCTAATATTTAGGATTTCATGTTCACATTTATGCTGGGTACATCTAGTACACTTACAAGATCAGGTGCAAATGCCACTTTCTTCTGCAACCTGGCCAGAGAGAAAAGTGCTGCCTAACATTTTTAAAATATTTTAATGGCCGAATTGGTCACCTGAGGAATAGCAGACATGAGTTCAATTTCCTTGTCTAAACTGATTGAAACTCAGATCTTTCTCATTTCATAAAGAGGTCCAATCACAAGTTATTAGCTACAAGATTGGTAGGAAAGGATGGATGTTTTCACCATTTCCTGTAGAAGCTGTGCAACGAAACATTCAAGACTCASAAAGAGTGAATAAGAAGTAATACTAAAATTTAGCAGTTAAATTGTTTTTCTGGGAAACAAATTCAGGCTCTGCTGCTGAGCATAGTCTGTGCATTTTATATTAAACAGTTAGTGGATAAACTATGCAAACTGTTCCAGCACATGGGCTAGAAACCCTCAGCTTCTCCCTCACGTGGGAGTGACAAAGGGCTTCAGCTGAGCACAACACTTCTTTTACTGGGTTTCAACAGATTTCTGTGACAAATGAAAAAAGGTCCTTTTTCTATAAAGATCTTGTGTAAAGAAGSAAAAAGCCAGAGACACAGAGGATGAATTATTCAAGGTGAATATACTGCTAGTGGTCAACAYACAGAAAGAAAAAAGACCTTTCCTACTCTTATCTTTTGCTAAAAACAAATCTTTTGGAGTACTGATCCATAAATTTGAGAAAACRTTATCTTTTGTGCTGTAGTGCTCTGCTATTTTAATCTGAAGACTCAAGACCATAACTAAACCCACACCATTACAGTACAAACAGCATTTTACTCAACAAAGGAAAGACTGCTTCAATATTTACATACTCCTATATGGCACTTCACATTACCTGTGAAAGCTTTAAAGCAAGTCTGGACTGCTAAATTACATTTCACAAGAGAACAAACCTTATTTYGTGCTGTTTTAAAAGCTGAGAACAAACCTGATGGTTGCTATCTGTCTGCCAGAGCTTGCTGGCAAGTATTCAGATTGATCTTGCTTACTATATTTTCTCTTACTGCATAACTGCTTTGGTGAATATAYTCACACTGTATCTTTTTTGACAAAATGGATTCTATTATTCATTTGTCTAACAGTGTTAATTATATTCATAATAACCAATTCCTCGAATGTTTTAATGAGCTATATGTTTGTAAATTCTAAGATTATTTTAGAACAGCCATTACTTCTATTAGAAAAAAAAATGTCACCTCATTATTATTTCAGTATTTTTAAAATAGAAATTATTGATAATATAAATATGCTTAGAACATTAAATGCAAAACTYTTGATGCTGCTCCACATCAACCAGACTACTGTGCCAGTTTATTTACAACACACTTAGAATTTAAGCATCTTTTGAGTAATATATAATTTTGGACCCTGAGTATAGACAAACATCACTACAAATTTTTTATCCTTTTAATTTTTCTCAGGGAATGACAAAGCTGCTGTTGCTCTGCTCTGTTCTTCATAGCATTACATCATCACAACTGCACAAGTCTATTGCCTTTGCCCTTCTTTGCCCTCATAAAAATCTTTGGCTCCCCTTTTAAATTCTTCAGAGAT